TTTCTGTGCTTCACAGCAAGGCTGGAATTAAGGTGGTATCAGCCCTCTAACTCAGTTCTTCTCTCTGGGCATTGTGCTGGCTGTTTGAGGCCTTTCGCTTCTGCATATTAATTTTAGATCAGACTGTCCATCCTCACAAATCTTGCCGGGGTATCTATCTATTGGGATCGCATTGATTTGCAATTGTAAAGAATTGCAAAGACTACAGACAATGTTGAATCTCCCTACCCACAAACAGAGAATGTCTCTCCAGGTAGCTGGTTTTTCGCTGACATCTTTCACTATAGGTTGGTAGCAAATGTATTTTAGATTTATTCCTTTTTTATCTGGCGCATTAAGTTAAATGGCGTTGTGTTTTCCTCTCAACTGCCGCGTGCTCAGTGCTGGCATATGAGAGAGTGACCGATGCTTGCATCTCTCCTTGTCTCCTGCAGTCTTGCTGGGACTGCTTGTTAGTTTTTGGTCAGTTATTTCAGGTTTTCTGCATAGATGATCATGTCGACTGGAAAGAGTTCATGTCTTTCTTCCCAGTCTGAATACATTTTCAATTTCCTCCACTTGACTGTTGAGTCAGCCGAAATGTCCAATGGGGTAAAGTCACAGAGGTGGGTGTATTTGCCTTGCGCCTGGTTTTGGTGGAAAAGCTTTTGAGTTCTTCACCACTAACCCTGGAGTTCATGATCGGAGCTCTATAGATAATCTTGATCATGTTGGACAATGGAAAGGCACATTTAAAAAAATTCTGTCAAGTGCCTTTTCTGTATCTCTTGTTTCTACATCTCTTGTAATAATTTTGTTTCTTTCTTCATTTGTTTTCTTTTCCTTCTTTTTTTTTTATTTTCTAGACAGGGTTTCTCTGTGTAACAGCTCTGGTTGTCCTGGAACTCACTCTGTAGACCAGGTTGGCCTCCAGCTCGGAGATCCACCTGCCTCTGCCTCCACACTTGACTTTATGAACGGATTCTCCCTGTCTTTTCTTTCAGTGTTCTGCCACTATTTAAATGGTGTTTCAGAACAAAAATAAAAAATAAAGTTACAGAGTTATTTATATATTTTAAATCTTGTACAAGGCATAAGAAACAACTACCAACAGAAAAAATTATTTTCTCTACCCCTAAATAGTCTGCCTACATCTGTCTGCACACTTCAGTCTTCGTGTAGTTGTTTTATTTTATACTTGAAATGACGATTCACAAAGATAAAAAATTAAGAGATTTTTTTTTTAATTAGAGAGACAATAATGTGTAAGTTGGTCTTTGCTAAAGAAACTCCGGGAGAAATGGAGCCCTTCTGTTCTCAGGCAGTTGTGCCAGGGCCCGCGCCCCCCCCCCACCTCTCCCTCCCCATTGTGTGGCACTGTGTGCTCCTCTCCAGGGTGCTCACTGTGTGCTCCCCTGGAGCAGCAGGCACTGTGGCTCCTGGTGTCCTTTCTAATGCCCGCTCTCCAGGGGACTCTGTGGTGCTCAGCCCCTCTCCTCCCTTTGCTGCAGGGCTGAGAGCAGCAGCAGGAGATGCGAAGCAGGAGTCCTGGGAGCAAATGGAGGTGAGGGTTCATTTTCAGGCTCTTGTCACCGTCGCGTGTGACCGTCCTGTGATGGATCACGGCGGCCAAGTTTCTCCCCAGCACGTTTCATTTCAGTGCAAACCCACAGCTTCTCATCTCCGACACTTTCGGATATTAGCTCCAAGGGGGACATCGATAGACCCCCCGAGATCTCAGTAGAAATTGGTCCCAGAAAGACCAAATGAGGGGCAGTCTCCATCTGTGCTGACATGACCCCTCTTGTGACATTTAAAACCCCTTACATTTTGAACCTGATGGAAGCTCATTTCTGCCACTCATATTTGTGTTCTGTCTCTCCTTCCATTTCTTCTTTCTCTTTGTTTTCTTCTGTCATTCCTGGCGGGACCTCATACACGACACTCCGGCCATGTACCTGCCCACTCATCTTCCCCAGGTCTCCTGTCATCCCATGACACTTGCTCTTTAAGGCACCGCTGCATTAATTCTCTTTCTCCTTTTGTCATGAGATGTCTTCCGTCCTGCCATCCTGACCCTCTGGATGGTGGGCGAAAGTCCTTGTTGCACATGAAATGGGTGAATGGTTTCCCCATTTTCGAAACTGAGATAGGGAAGCCGGCCGATAGGCCTGTGAGGGATGTAACCAAACTCGGAGCATCATAAACTGATTGTTTCAAATGATGAACATCCTGGGGTCAACTCCACGTGAACGTGGCACATCCATCTTTTTATATATAACTGAATTTGGCACACTTTTAAAATGTTCTATATTTATAAGTGCACGACAGAATTCATGGCATGTATTCAGAGGTCAGAGGGCAGCTTGTAAGAGTTGGTTCCCTCCTTCTTCTACAATATGGTCTCCAGGGATTGGATCCAAGTCATCGATCTTGAGAGCAAGCACCCTCTGGACCATCTTGCTGGCCCCAAATAATCTAGATTCAAGTTACTAATATTTAGCTGAGGGATTTTTCTTGCCTGTCCCCGCCAGCTGTAATGGCCACACCAGCGTATTTAATCGTCATCGTTCATAAGAGATATTGATCTGTAGTTCTCTTTTCTTTGATGCTGCCGTCTGGTTTTGGTATTAGTGCGCTGCAGGCCTTGCAGAATGGGTGAAGATGTGTTCTCTCTTCTGACTGAGACTGGAGGAAATTGGCAGATTCTCATCCTAAAGCATTTGGGAGACCTTCCTGAGGATCCATCTCTCTGGATCCATCTACTTGCTTTTGGAATGTTATTATTTATTTTTATTGTTTTTTATTGGTTACTTACTATGTACATTGGCTTACTCTAGTGTCTTGTTTCTTCTCAAGGTGTACATTTGGGCACACTGTATCATTCAAGGAACTTTTTTTTTTATCTAGTTATCCTGCTCAGAATGTGCTTATCCACACTTTAGCTTGATGGTCTAAGCTCCTATGTCCCCGTCTTTCTCCTCCACCCCTTTTTACGTCTCTCCCCACATTTTTATCTGAGATCTCACCTCACCTAATCTTCAGTCTCATGGATTCCCTCGTTACATCTAACCAAACTCATTTGTCTCTAGTATTGTATTTTCTTGCATTTTTAAAAAAGATTTTATTTATTTATTAAGTATATAGTGTTCTGCCAGAAGAGGACACCAGATCCCATTATAGATGATTGTGAACCACTGTGTGGTTGCTGGGAATTGAACTCACAGCCTCTGGAAGAGCAGCCAGTGCTCTTAACCTCTGAGCCATCTCTCCGGCCCACATTTTTGTTTTATAAAGAAGGTCGTTCATTTCAAATTTCTATTTATTAGTGGGGTTATACACATGCCACAGTGCGGATGTGAAAGTCACAAGACAACTTTTGGGAGGTAGACCTCTCCTTCCACATGTTTGAGGCAGGGTCTCTCCTGTTTCTGCCTTCCTGTGTACTCTAGGCTAGCTGAGCCCACAACTTCCAGGCAGTCCCCTGTTTCCACCTCTCATCTATGTAGGAGTGCTGGGATTCCCGATTTGTGCCACCATGCCTGGCTTTTATTATTCAGACACGTGGGTAACTAAACTAAGTCTCTAGGCTTGTGAAATGAGTACTTTAACCCACAGAGACCTCTCCCCAGCGCACTGATAACTTCCTTGAAATTCTGTTCAGCATGTCCCTTAGGAAACCATTCCTAATGGCTGTTGTCTTGACTCATGGAATGTCTGCGTTGGTTGGTTGTAACACTGCTGGCTCTGCCTCTGCTGCATGCCTTCCGACTTTGTAAGGAGTGTACGTGTGTTTCCCAGTTGTTATGGAATACTGACGATGTGTAACAGGCTAACGGAGACTGGGGTAAATAGCGTCTGCTTACAAAGGATGTACCAGTTCATCCACTGGAGAGCTGAACATTGGGCCACTACTACCCTGTGCTGACATGGGGTCTGGAGCTCAGAGGTGGGGTGGGGTGGGGGACTCTTTTGTATCCTATGTCAGACGCAGTGTTCAGAAGGCTCTGCCATGCAGGCAGCCTTCTGTCCCCTCCGTCTGCTTCCAGGGCAGGCCCTCATCACTTGACACAGGACTGTGGGAGAGCTACAGGGATTTGTTATGATCTGCACCCAGGCATGCCAAAGATGACAAGGGCTCTCGGTGCTTTGATTTCAACATCAGTGGAGACTAGACATTGTCGGGGACTTTCAGATGCTCTTGTCACCGAGAGTTCAGTACCATACCCAGGCTCTCTGCAACCTCTGCACTGAGCATGTGCGCCACCCGTCAGAAGTCAATGGTACACACATACAAATAACATTATGTGGACTGAGCAGGTTGTATTTATATACACACATACATTTAAGTGTCACAACCACTGGAGGAAAAGAGACCATGGCTTAGGAAGAGAGCAAAGTGGGGTACCCAGGACGGACTGGAAGGAGGAGAGGGAAGGGCTCTTATTTTTAAGCCATTGGCATTTCTCTATTAAAACTCTACCGCTTTCCAAGGTGATCTTGCAGAGTGCGGCTGTGGCCCTGTGTTCTGGTGCACCCCCAGGCTATACCTCCACAGTCTTGGCCCCTCACTTTCATTGACCTTCTTCCAGGTGCCCACTTTGTCTTCATCTGGAGAGCATTTTTTTTTCCCTCGTGTATTCCTGTAATAGAACGCAATGCCCTGCCTGAAGCAGGGAGAACAGGCTGGAAGGCCTTCTGTCAATTCAGCTATTAGATATCTAGTCTCCAAGTTCCTGTGGATGTCACTGGGAAGTTGGCCAGAGGATCCTTCCCCCCCCACACACACACACAAAGTCTGTGGAGGGGCCTCCCCTCTTCCCTAACCCTAATTGTGGACTAACTTCTCTGTAATGAGATTCCTACCCCGGTTTATAACTCCCCGGGGCAGTGCCTACTACATACAACTGTCTTGCCCAGCGAGGCAGATCCTTTGGTGTATCAGCATGGCTACTGAGCTCTAGACTGCTTCTGCGCATGCTCTGGAGTTCAGAGTCTTGAAGCCATTTTCTCTGTTCTAGGAAGAGTCTTCCCACTCCTGTGTGTGGATTAGAGGAATTGGTCTGCAAGCATGTGGTCGGTCCTCAGAGGCTGGAGGAGAGGATGCGTGAGACTGCATGGAGCATGGGCTGTGCTGGATCAGTCACGCTACCCCTGCGGCCGTGCTGTGGCCAGTGCCGCGGCCGGCGCAACCTCCGTGGACCAGGATGAGTTCAGCTTTGTGGTGGTGGGTGCAGGCTCTGCTGGCTGTGTGCTCGCCAGTCGGCTCACTGAGGACCCAAGCCATCGGGTGCTGCTGCTAGAGGCAGGTCCCAAGGACTTGTTGATGGGGAGCAAGCGACTCCAGTGGAAGATCCACATGCCTGCTGCCCTTGTGGCCAACCTATGCGATGACAGGTACAACTGGTACTACCACACGGAAGCACAGCCGGGGCTGGATGGCCGTGTAATGTACTGGCCGCGAGGCAGGGTCTGGGGGGGATCCTCATCCCTCAACGCCATGGTCTACATCCGTGGACACGCTGAGGATTATAACCGCTGGCATCGCGAAGGGGCTGAGGGTTGGGACTACGCACACTGCCTGCCCTACTTCCGCAAGGCACAGAGACATGAGCTGGGAGCCAACAGGTACCGCGGTGGTGATGGGCCACTGCACGTGTCTCGGGGCAAGACCAACCACCCTCTTCACCAGGCCTTCCTGCAGGCTGCACATCAGGCTGGCTACCCCTTCACCGAAGACATGAATGGCTTCCAACAGGAGGGCTTCGGCTGGATGGACATGACCATCCACCAAGGTAATGATTTTTAATTAACCCTCTTCTAATTATAGTCTTTCCTCCTGACCCCTTGATGGTTGGTAAGTGCCAAAATAAGGCTAGTGTTAGCTGGGAGAGAGATTCTTCACACCCCAGGAGTCATAGGACATGGCCCAGCCTCTTGGACATCCACTGAGTCTCTAGGTCATGGGAGCAGCAAGATGAATGCAGACTCTTCAAGGGCCTGTCTAGCCTGACAGGGCATCCAAGCCCTACAGCCACAGATCTAGGAAGCTGAGATCGGCAGGGATCTCAGTCCTGTTGGAGTCTTTGGCCAGGATGAACACAGTGGCCTGGCTGGGGGCAGGAAAGGCCTTGGGAAGAAGCAGCTCTGCATAGTGAATAAGTCTAATAGACTTGCAGATGAGAAGTTGAGGCAGAAAGAGATGGCACAAGACTACTTGCCTTAACCATCACCTCTGTGGATGGGTGCAAGTAGACACAGCGTGGGTGGTGCAGAGCCTTGATCACAACAGGACAAGCCACGGGGCTCTTAGCAGCCTAGACTTCAGGGTGGGGCGTCCAGGTCCCAGACATACCTTGAAGGCAGGCCTTGCACAGTCAAGGGCAGGACAGGACAGAGCTGCTTTCTCCAGCATGCTCCCCCTGCCCAGGAATGAGAGGAGGGGCAGCCGGTCACACATGATCTTGTTCCATCATATAGGGAAGCGCTGGAGCACAGCCTGCGCCTACTTGCACCCAGCACTGAGCCGCCCCAACCTCAGGACTGAGGTCCAGACCCTTGTGAGCAGAGTGCTATTTGAGGGCACACGCGCAGTGGGCGTGGAGTACTTCAAGAATGGGCAGAGCCACAAGGTGCGCTGACTCCCGTGGAAGGGGTGGGAACTGATTGGGCAGGAAGGGGTGGGCACTGATCTGGCAATCAGGCTGTCCTCGCCAGCCAAATGCTCCTGTCCCTATGATGAGTTAACAGCAGGTAATGGTGGCAGGATATGTCCCTGGGGTCTCACGGGACAGAGGTCAGTCCCAGCACCTGTAGACTCCATGGTACCCTGCTGTGAATGCCTCCAGAAGCCTCTGTCTGCCGTATCCACCCCAAGCAGTCCTCTAGTATCTTCTACAAGGTTTCAGGGTCCTGGCCTGTCAGAGCCATTAGGTTGATCCTAGAAGTTTAAAAACCCTCAAATATAATCATACTATATACACATGGTGCCTTGCCTCACCCTCCCTCCCAGGAGAGGGGGCTATTTGTGTGCTTGCTGCAAACCACGCTAGTGCCTGCTGTCATTGATCTCCTTAGAGCTCTACTGTCCCCGTTCTCAAAGTCCCTGTCACCGTAATAGCTATGAGCGAAACTCACACATGGTGACTGGATGTGCAGGTTGCTTTGAAGTAGCTAACAAGAAGCCCCCGACTCTACTCTAGGACCTGGGAGCAGACTCTCCACATAGTGCCATGTCCCAAGGCCACATTCTTGTGGTCATGGCAGTAACGGTCAGCTGACTTCTCAAGAAATGTGACTGGTGGTCCCCTGCCTCTTCCAGGCTTATGCCAGCAAGGAGGTGATCCTGAGTGGGGGCGCCATCAACTCTCCACAGCTGCTCATGCTCTCTGGCATTGGAAATGCAGACGACCTCAAGAAGCTGGGCATCCCTGTGGTGTGCCACCTGCCTGGTGAGCTCCTATTCCGACTGCTGCCCACGGGGTGGCTCTGGGGAGGCCAGCAGCTTCTTGCTTGGAGTGGGGAGGTGGCACGTCTTAAAAGCGTCACAGCCTTCCTTCTTACAGCTGAGGGGCTTCTGGGCCTCATTGGACACTCCTATTACAGGCCCCCGAGTCTTCATTTTCCTTCACCCCTCCCCCGTCAGGCAGCCTCTGTACCCTTTCCGAGCGAGCGCTTCCTGTTAACAGTAGGTCAGGCCTGGCGTGAGAGCTCTATCCCCAAGGTTTACAAGTCGCTCTTGGCACAAATAAGACCAGCCCGGGGCTCCAGCGTCACTGTTCATATGCAGACCCACGTGTCATCTTTTCAACTGTCTGTAATGCCCTCGAGGGCTTAGCAGTCTTCTTTATTCCCTCATCTTCCATATAGAAGGGGCTGACCTTTCCCTGGGAGCTTTCCTCGAGAAGCCTATGGAAGTGGTCTGTGTCCTGACTGCCTTCTGTGTGCTTGAGTTTGAATGAGCTTAAGTGGTGTCTGCACAGCATGCTGGGATTGCTTCCTCCTTCGGCAGACTTGGGGCAGAGCATGGGGCTGACAACTGGCAATCTGGCCAGCAGACACCCAGTGACCCTTACCAAGTGGTACCTGCTAGAATTGTGGGCCCTGCCCTTAAAGGGTGCTCCTGAGATGGGCTGGTCAAAGGCATCGGAGTGGCTGCTGTAGAGGGGTAGCAGGGCAGGTGGCTTTAGCATTTGAGAGAGGGCCAGACTTGTCGAAGACAGAAGTGGTGACTGAGGTGGACACTCGTCAGCCGGGGGCCAGGACAGACAAGAACCAGCTTAAAAGATAAATGGACTGGAGGGGTTTCCCTTGTGTTAGCCATTTTTCTCAACCCACTCCATCCTGTGCCAGGAGTTGGGCAGAACCTGCAAGACCACCTGGAGATCTACATTCAGCAGGCATGCACACAGCCCATCACTCTCCACTCGGCCCAGAAGCCTCTGCGGAGGGTCTGTATCGGACTGGAGTGGCTCTGGAGGTTCACAGGTGGGCCTGCTTCCCGGTGAACTTGGTGGCTATGGTCCTTGGGCATCACGGTTTCCTCTTGATTAGCTGAGATGAGCTTCAGTTGCTAGGTATGAAGTCAGATGACAACCATCAGAGCCCATTTTTCTGTCTGCAAGGTGAGGACACCAAGGTCCTGCCTTGCAGGCTGCCGTAAAGGGACAGGAGGCAGTAGCACATGTTGAGGAGGGTCCTTGCTCAAGGTGATGCCCACTGAGCAGGATGTGGAATGGGCTCAAAAAGCACGAGGCCTTTGCAGACCTGAAGCCCCTCATTTTTGGCACGTAGCTGGCATCTGAAGTTGTGATGCTTGGTATGGCCACCTGGAGAAAGAAAACAGTTATGGACAGACCTTGATGCCAAGCCCCAAGCCCAGGAAGGGAGACATAAGGGAGGAGGGGACATGGGAACAGTTGGCCCACCTGCCATAACCTGACTGGCTCTTCTGCCTTGTCTTCATGGGACCTTCAGGGGATGGAGCCACGGCCCATCTTGAAACAGGAGGGTTCATCCGCAGCCGGCCCGGGATCCCCCACCCAGACATTCAGTTTCACTTCCTGCCATCCCAAGTGATTGACCACGGGCGGAAACCCACCCACCAGGATGCTTACCAGGTATGCAGATAACCATGGCCAGAGACTGTTACTTCCTGATCCTGCATTAGACTAGGTTTTCATGGTGTTATCGGTCCCACTATGCAGACCTTCATTTGGTACTCTGCTCCCCAGTGGCTACTATCTGACTGGAAGAAGAAAGGGGACCCAAGCCTTATGCCAGGGAGAGAACCCAGGAGCCAGTCTGCAGGATGTATAGAGGGCAGGATCTATACCAGTGACCACAGGCAAACTACCTCAGCCCCAGGATCATGCCTTGAACCTTTCAGACAAAGGAGTAAAGGCCAGACAGGGGTGGGGAGGTTGGAAGAAGGTCAGATACAAAACCTTTATGCTCTACATTGAATACTGAGTCCCCACCCACAGGGAAGCAGGGCCTTCTCTAAGCTTCTGAGAGGTAGTTAATGGAGATTACTGTGCCCTGTTTCCTTTGAACCCTCCTAGGTACACGTGGGAACCATGAGGGGCACAAGTGTAGGCTGGCTCAAACTGAGGAGTGCCAACCCTCAGGACCACCCCGTGATTCACCCCAACTACTTGTCAACAGGTAACTCAGAGGCTACTTTGTGTCATCTGGGCCTGGCAATGTTTTAAGGAATCTTTATATAGGGTTCCTTTCTCGGGATCCTGTTTCCTAACACTGAGGATGCTCTCAGTTCTGGGTCAAACAAGGTAGTGGCGGCGGGGGGGGGGGGGGGCTCATTTTGCATGGCAGGACAGGGGTGCAGCTTGCAGACCCATCTGCAGGAGGTACAGATGCCAGGCTCGTGCGTACTCCCTGCCTGGCCTTCCCCGCCCTTCCTTTGGGTGCTGAGAGCATGCTGTATTCCCGGCTGGCCTCTACATGCAGCAGTGCCAAGACTTAAAGCCCACGTGGAAGGTTTTACCCCCATCACATGGGGACTTGACAGCCACATGGTAGCAGAGTAGATTGCATATCTTTACCCCTGGTTGCCAGAGAAACCAGACCTCAGACACCAGCGTGAGCCTCTTGGCACCATACCTGCTTCTTGGCAGGTGACAAGCGCTTGCAGCTTGGTTCTCCACGTCCCTGATCTTCGTCCCTCAGTTCCACTTGACCAGAAGAGTAAAAGGAGGGGAACTCATTTATCTCTCCTCCACAGAAACCGATATCCAGGACTTCCGTCAGTGTGTGAGATTGACCAGAGAAATTTTTGCACAAGAAGCCTTGGCTCCCTTCCGGGGCAAAGAGCTACAGCCTGGAAGCCATGTCCAGTCAGACAAAGAGATAGATGCCTTTGTGCGGGCGAAAGCAGACAGCGCTTACCATCCCTCCTGTACCTGTAAGATGGGCCAGCCCTCTGACCCCACTGCTGTGGTCGACCTGCAAACGAGGGTCCTCGGGGTAGAAAACCTCAGAGTCGTTGATGCTTCCATCATGCCCAGCGTGGTCAGTGGCAACCTGAACGCTCCCACAATAATGATTGCAGAGAAAGCAGCTGACATTATTAAGGGGTATCCTGCACTCTGGGACAAGGATGTTCCTGTCTACCAGCCGCAGACTCTGGCCACCCAGCGTTAAGGCAGCCCACTGCCTGAGGATGACAGAGGAATTCATATCAAGCCAAGAGATTCAACTCATGCAGCCCTGCCCCAGATAGTTCCTGAACCTGTAGACTCTTGGGACCCAGATATCCCTACTCATGGCTAAGACCTTCATGGTATCTGAGGAAATAAAGCCGTAGCAGTGGGTGAGGCAAGTCCCTTTTCCCAGTGTCTCTCTGAGGACCCTTGGAGAAAGGCTAGCATGCAAGCTGGGGCCTCGTCCCGACCTCCTGGAGTTAAGTTAGGAAGGTTAACTCTTGCGTGATTTTCTTGCAAGCCCTTCAGCCACCTCCAGCCCAGTGTTCTGTTGCCAGGAGTAGAATGATCCTTTCCCTGGCGACCCACTCAAGGCCACTTCTGCAAAGGCCGGGTTCTTGAGCTGAACTGGGGCTCTCCAAGGAAGCGTTAGCGGAGGCCGAGAGCCAGGAAAAAGCTTAGCCAGGGCTGGTACCTGAGCTCATGTTCGCCATTAGAGGAAAGGCAGCCGACAGTTGGAGGATACTGGCTGTCCCTTCTCCTGCTCTGATTCAAATCCGAGGAGTGAGGTACAGGAATGGGGGGCTCAACTGACTGCATGACTCCCTTGCCTCATGCTGGCTGTCCTTACAAGAAAATGAAGACCGGACACAATTTGGATTAGTTTCTCTAAGACGTGCAAAGCCACCTTCTCCGATGGGGAAGAGCAGGATAACTGTACAGAAACCTGCACTGCGAGACCAAGAGCAGTGGGGGGGGGGGGGGGGGGAATCGGGATCCCAGGCCCCACTAGGATTGACTGGGAGTGGCAGGAGCTGCCTTCTGGGTGGTACCCAGAGTGCAGATAGTTGCATCTGAGAAAGACCTTCCAGAAAGGTTAAAGTAAAAACCATCACATTTCTATGAAAACCAGGCTGCTTCTGTTTCTTTGTTTCATCTTACCTGTGCCTTGCTTTCTTTTTCCCCCCACCCTGTTCCAAAAGAAAGTCAAAGAAAATCCTTGGTCTGACAAGAGAGTCTCATAGAGCAGGTGCCGCACAGCATCCATTGGAGGTGCCACCCGTGGGAGGGCCACATTCTGCTCTCGTGCATAGCGGGATTTCAGATCAGACTAACTCCGGCGTGCTCCTCAGTTCCATCCAGGCCTTTCTCTCACTTTGGCAAACCAAGGCAGGCTCCGCCTGTCGATACCACTTAGCCACATAAGGAAGTGTGGTTTCTGGAGACAAAAAGCGAAGGTTGTGAGCCTAGAGCTCAAAGATGTCAAGTGGGAAATTGTTGTTGGGGTTCAGACTCAGGACACAGAATATGTGATTTGGAGGGTTCCTCGCTGAAGTCCTGATGGCCTAACATGGCTGTTCCCGTTTCCAGCTCCAGAAGAACAGACGGACATGCAGGACAGTCCTGCTGGGGTGCTCAATCCAAAAGCCAGGGCTGCCTGGAAGTCCCAGTGCCAAGAGCAAGTGGCAGAGAGACACAAGCCTGCTTGGTTAGAAAGCGGCGCTCACACCGGCCCTGTTAGACTGAGTTCGTGGGCAACCAGGCAGACTTTGTTAGCTGAGTAGGCTCCTTAGCAAGAAGTCTGTAATACCTAAACCATGGAAGGGCCACATGCTGCCAAAACTGGTGGACACACATTTAGCAAGCGTACGTCCTGGGGTTGACCCCTAGAATCAAAAAGAAAGAGCTGCACTCGTGCCCAGAGCTGTGGGGAGCCCGGCTTTGCTGAGAGAACTTGAGCCTACCTCACCGTTGGCCAAATGTGTTCCTGACAGAGTAAGGAACAGACTGTGGAGGGAGACAGGAACAGCTGGTCTGCATGACCGGAACAGTCACTGAAGCAGGAAGTTGAAGTGTTGTGACACAGAAGCTCCTCTGCCGCCAGTGCCGGCTGCAGGGTTACTTTCCATAAATTCAAATCCGTTCTTCTCAGCCACCACCCTGCGTCCCGCAGGCCCCAAAAGTTTCCATATTTCCACTGATAAACAGTTACGATATCAAATCTAATGCAAAGATATTTATCTTCAAAATTAGGGAGGAAAAGAACATGGCCTACCCCTAGGCCCTAGTTGATGGCCTGGGTGGCCCCTGCTGGCTGAGCTGCAGCTCTGTAGCGCATTCTCCAACCATTCTCTGATTCCAAAAGCCCTTCCGAGACTCTCCCTAGTTCCCCAAGGCCCTCCCCCTTCCCAGAAAGCAGAGCTGGGGTGGGTTGTGTGTATGTGTGTGGAGGGGTGCCCAAGATGTGCTGGGGTGAGTTTTGTGCGGGGGGGTGGGTGTTCATGATGAAGTGGGGTGGGTTTTGTGGGGGGGGGTGTCCATGATGTGCTGGG